TAGAATGCAAAATATTTTTAGGCCCAGCTGCAAAGTTATTTAATTATGAGTCTGTGTGCCCTGGAGGGCATTTGGTTTTCAGACAGGTTAGGAGTGTTTCCTCTAGTTCTCCATATTGATTGACATTAGGGTTACTTTAGCTATATTTTAACCATCTGTGCTTATTTATATTTCTATTTTTGGATGCACATCCTTTTTATATATGATGTTGAGGATTTATGATTAAAGAAGTTATGCCTCTTTGGAAATGACTTTGAGTGGAATACTACCTATGTCGTCCTGCTGACCATCTCATGGGGCAAAAAACAGGGCCCACAACATCTCTCACAACACACAAAAAATAGACACAAAACACGACAACAAAAAAACACCTTAAAGAATAGGCCTCACAGACCAAAATCTACACACAACAGGATTGCTGTGTAGTGTTGAATAACATCCCTGTTACATTGGGCATAAATATACACAAGTGAGAAAAAAACTGATTGCTAGATATTAATTAATTCAGAGACATACAAAGTCTGGATTGGCCACCTGCTCGTAGTCATCAGGTTCTTCAGCTTTGTTTGCTTTGGCAGTATATGTATTTTTGCCCTTACTTATTGTGCCTGTATCGTAAAATAGATCATGTAATTGAAATTGTTGGTGTAGATTAGAAAATGTGCCTTATTTTTTCACATTGTTAAATACTTAATACGTAATCAGCATAGTGTACAAAACAGCAGTTATCAGTGATACCGCTGTATTTTGTTTCATTGTGAGCCCAGTCTTGGTTGGCTGAGATACTCCAAGATCTGATCTGTCCTAATCCCTCTGAGGAATATTATATTGTGCCTTCTTTGTTTCAATGTCCCTCAGTGTGGCTGTTGATAACACCAGTGACTCACTGCTTTCTTCCAGTGATTTCACTAGTAGTAGTCCCTGTGGGCAGACTGTTAATAAGATGATTGAAATCCTTTGTAATGTTCTGTGCTGCTTGACTATAAGATTGTTATCAGCTGAAGTACTCGAAGTTTGGAACACCAGCAGAGTATATGATTCTTTAAAAGAAAAGTAAAATAGCTACAAAATAGTCCAGGAACACCGGCCCTAAAGAATGTCCCAAAGGCCTCCTGGTGCCAGTTGTAGGGGAGCAGATCAGTCTTGCACACTGATCTGGAAGGGTTCACTTACATGTCTTCATGGAAAATTAGTGATTCAGAATATTATCTGTTTGGCTGTAAGGTTTAAGGTAATTATAAACAGAGAGGACCGAGCAGGGAGATGGAGCCAGGCACAGCTAGACACACTGGCATGTAGACCAGCACGAAGCAGGAAATGGTAACTAGAACAATTGCATGGTGTTTCCTGTTATAAGAAAGGAAAAAATTGTTAGCTAAAGAGGGGTAACAGAAAATCAAAGTGAAGCAGCCCAGGGGATTCCATCAAAATGTTCTAAAAAAAAAGTACATTTGGAAAGGGAAAGTTGTTTTGTTTGTTTGTTTACAGTAATTGCATATGTAAAATGTCTGCCCAAGGAGGAGAGGTAACTGATTGAGGTTCAACATCATTTTCTCAGACTAGCAGGGA